ATCTATGGTAGTTTGTAGGTGACTCTGTGATACTGGCGGGACTAAAAATACTTCATTCAGAAAAGTTTCATGAAGTTTTAAGGCAGTTTGAATAGTAGTTGCCCAAACGTAACAAGAAAAGTTATACCCTATAAGAATTTATACAAATGCCTACAGTACAAGACAGTGTAATATGTGATGTGTTTTATAGCTTTTTTTTGGAGAGGTTTTTGCTATAGGGCGTGTGCGCTCGCCAGCCAGACAGAGAAAGACAGACAGACAGAAAGCGAGAAATCACCCCCCAGGGGGGATGGCCACACCGCAATCCCTTCTCCTCCATTCTCCTCTCGGGATCTCGGGTATGCATGCACACGCGCCCGGCGTAAGTTTAAGCCACTGGGTCCGGGACTCGAACCGTGGTCGACTACGGGGGAGTCCAGCGACATAGCCATTACGCTAACTGCTGGTCCCTGTTTTACAGCTTTTTTTGAGATTCAAAGAAGGGGAAAAATAAATTAAAACAATGCATATACATATCCGGAATTGTCTGTGAGCTCTCCCGTATCATTTAAGGTCCTTCACTTTTTTTTTTTTTTTTAAGGATTATTTTATTTAAGTGTATTTACTTATTTATTTTAATTTGACCAGAGAGGGACAGAGTGAGAGAGCAAGTGAGAAAGCAAGCCTCCAGGTCTGGGACTCAAACCATGGTCAGTCATGTGGTAGTTCAGCACCCTTAACCACCATGCCACCTGTTGGCCTCAGCCCTTCGCTGTTTTTGCGAGTCTGGTACATTACTTGAACATAGGACAGGTGATCAGTACATTTTGTTGAATGAATAAATGACAAGGATGTTATTTGAGGTAGACTTTCAAGGATGAATGGAGTAGACTGAGTGTTTTAGGTGAGGTAAATATGAACTAACTTATAAGCAGACTAAGAAAAGTAAATCTTGTCTGGCTGTGCTATGAGGTCAGTGTGTAGCAAAATCAAAGAATTACTGTAATAAAAGAAGATAATTTGCTGTTAACTTGAGAGGAATGACCAGAGCTTTCCTATTTGCAGGTGACAATATGTACAGTTGTGAAAAATGTAAAAAGTAAGTAACATTGATAGTTCTATTAGTTGTATGCTGTGTAATTATTTTTTGTTATTTGAAATGAGTTTATGGGGTAAAATTCACCACTATATTTAGAAACGTATGGACCAAGAACAATGTTCTAGTAGTAATAAAGATATTGGTTGTTCTGTAGAACAAATTAGAACTAAAATTTTAAAAATGTAATTGGCTTATTTAAGATATTAAAGGGTATATTTTGAGGAATTAAATAATAGTATTTGATTTTACACAAGACATTTTTAAAAGGCAATATTCTTTTCTAGGTTATCATTTTAACAGGCTAGATTTTGGAACTAAATGGCATGTAATTTCAAATCTGCTTAATTCAGAAAGGCCATACAGCTTGGATGTTATTTGTTATGGTGGCAAAATAAAAGGACAATTAGAGTTGATTTTGTTTATATCTACTACCAGCTTCCTATTCTTATCTTATAATAATTCAGAGGGTTTTTCCTCTTTTTTTGTTTTAGATTTTACCCTAGGGTGCATGAGCTCACTGGAGAGAGAAAGAGAGAGGGAAATTGACAAATCACATGCTGTAGGAATGGCCACACCACAGTCCCTTCTCCTTTTGGGATTTTTTTTTTTTTTGAGAGGTTTTCACTATAGGGCGCGTGCGCTCACCAGACAGAGAGAGACAAAGAGACAGAAAGCGAGAAATCACCCCCCCAGGGGGGATGGCCACGCCGCAATCCCTTCTCCTCTAATCTCCTCTCGGGATCTTGGGCACGCATGCACACGCGCCCGGCGTGAGTTTTAAGCCACCGGGTCCGGGACGTGAACCGCGGTCGACTACGTGGGAGTCCAGCGACATAGCCATTACGCTAACTGCTGGTTCCCTCCTTTTGGGATTTTGAACATATAAGCATAAGTGCCTGGTGTGATTTTCAAGCCACTGGGTCCAGGACTTGAACCATGGTCGATCATGTGGGAGTCAAGCACTTTAATCACTGTGGCACTTGCTGGCCCTCCAGTTCAGAGTTTTAATGCTCCCTGGTAGACAGGAAAAAAAGTAATTGGAGACTTGATGAAAGCAAATATTTTTGAGGTAGAGTAAATTTGAAATTTTTTGAATTCTTGTAATAGAAAAAATTACAGCCTTCTACTGGAATCTAGAATTTGAGTAAAACTGACTCCTGGTTACTGGCAGTAACTGTTGAGAAACACTCATCATCAAATGTTGGTCCTTTACACGACAGGAAGGAATGGTATTCCATTTGGTCAATGGAGATGTAACAGCTGCCTTGTACATTCAGGGCAATTTTAGGTTTGTCCTTTAAATCCTGACTGACAGCTAAACAAAGATTTGGCCTGGAAGATGCATCCTTTCTTGCAACACAAAGCAGACTGGGAAAAAGATAATAGTGATGATGGGAAAGAACCTTGCTTCTATTCCCAAATCCAAAATAAAGATCTGTTAACTGTATATTATTAAGTCATTGGAAAAGTCATGTATTTTTTTCTATGTTTTTCTATGCAAAAGTGCATCATGACTTTCCTGATGACCCAATAGTAATGACCATCCCTTATTACAAGATTTTTTTTCATATTCAAGAATAAAGGTTTGTTTGATTTTAGTTTGTTCTTGGGTACTTGTGCTTTCCAGAGAGAGAGAGAGAGTATGAGAGACAGTGAGGTGAGAAAGCATCCCCCGAGGAAGGATGGCCTGCAAACCCTGCTTCTGTCAGAATTTTGGGCATGCATGCATATGTGCCCAGCGTGTTTTTCAAGCCACAAGGTGTGGGAGTCAGTCAGCCATGTGGGATTCAGCCACCTTCACCACCACACCACTTGCTGGTCCAAGATTAAAGGTTTTTTTTCAAACTTAATTTTATTTAGCATTATTATTTTAAAAATTTGCTACAGGACACCTACGCTCACCAGAGAGAGACACAGTGAGACAGAGAAAGTGAGAAAACAAGCCGCCAGGCTTGGGACTCAAACCGTGGTCAGTCATATGGGAATCCATCGCCTCAACCACCACGCCACCTGCTGACCCCAAAGGATTTTTTTTAAGAGAGATTTTTGTTTTAAGGTGCATGTGGTTGCCAGAGAGACAGAGAAACAGAAAGCAAGAAATCACCCCTCCCCGCCTCCACCACCTGGAGGATGGCCACAATCTCTTCTCCATTCTCCTCTCAGGATTTTGGGCTTGCACACACGTGTGCCTGGTGTGAGTTTCAAGTGGCTGGATCTGGGACTAGAACTGCTGTCGATTACATGGGAGTCCAGTAATATAACCATTATGCCATCTACTGGTCTCCCCAAAGGTTTTATGTAATTGGGTTTTGCTTTACCCAGCTTTACTTAGTATCTACATGTTATAAAGGTATAGCAAGGCCATAGGCAGTAGCTTATTTGTTTAAAAAAACAATACTTTTAATCAAAGAATTATACCACCACTAAATTTTTTTAAAGAATTATTTTATTTAACTTTATTTATTGATTTGTTTTAATTTGACCAGAGAGGGACAGAGTGGGGCAGGGGAGAGTGAGAAAGCAAGCTGCCAGGTCCGGGACATGAACCTTTAGCCATGTGGGAGTCCAGCACTCTTAACTACCATGCCACCTGACAGTCCCAACCTCTAAATTTCTATTACTGACATTTTGATTTTAATTAGTCTCATAATAGGGGCCTCCAGTGTTTTGATTATTAGAATATTTAGTGGTTTTACGTGTAATGTAATTCAGTAGTGAGCATATCTGGTCTGATAACCTTTGTCTCTACACTTTATGAAAGATTTTTTTCTGTATAATTAAATATACTTAATTATTGTAGATTCATGGGTTTTTCTCTTTTTGTCCCTTAGGTTGAGGAATGGAGTAAAGTTTTGTAAAGTACAAAAGTTTCCTGAGGTATGTCCCTTAACTCAATGCATTAATGCAACACAATGCAGTATAATGATAAATTCCCCTAGCATGGCTCAGCCGTGCTGGCAGATAGGTAGTGCTACTGCTGGGAGGCCGGAACCTGCATGGGAGTCATGGGTTTAGTCAGTTTCGTGACCAGCCTAAACACACTGGGTGTAGTATTCGTCAGCTTAGTTAATTGGGAAATGAGGGCAGGAGGATCATGACACAGTGATGACTCTGTCAAAAATACCTACCACTGTCCTTTTCTTTTTTTTAATATTAATTTAATTTAATTTATTTTTTATTTATTCATTCATTTATTTTTTAATTTGACCAGAAAGAGAGAGAGAGAGAAAGGGAAAGTGAGAAAGCAAGCTACCAGGTCCAGGACTTGAACCGTGGTCAGCCATGTGGGAGTGTCCAGCACCTTAATCACCATGCCACCTGCTGGTCCCACCACTGTCCTTTTCCACTCCCCATAAAGGGGGAAAAATTCTCTTTGTGGGGACCAGCAGGTGGCATGGTGGTTGGGGTGCTGGATACTCCCACATGGCTGACCGCGGTTCAAGTACTGGACCTGATGGCTTGCTTTCTCACTTTCCCTCTCTCTCTCTGTGTATCTCTCTCTGGTCAAATTAAAATAAATGAATGAATAAATACAATTAAATAAATAACTATTTAAAAAAATTCTCTTTGCATAATTGAAGAATGGACTGTTTCTGTTGACCAGTTGCTGTTCATACTTTATTGAGATAATTCATTTTTAAAATATTGTATTAAATACCATTCACACCCTTAATAGTGTTTAACACTGAACATCATTTAATCAGATATTTTAAGGTCTTGCAACTACAAAGTGTAAAATTATAGAAATAAATAGCAAATGAATTTAGAAAGTATCATGTTTTGCTATTTCCACATTTTTAACGTTTCTGGCATCAGCCTGTAATTGTAGGTTAAGGTTTAACTTTGACATTTAAGAATATTTCATAGACTTTTTTTTTTTAAGTTAGTTAATTTCTTTTAACTCAAACAATTACTGTCTTTGAAAAATATGGAACACTTCACGAATTTGCGTGTCATTCTTGCGCAGAGGCCACAGTAATCTTCTCTGTATCGTTCCAGTTTTAGTATATGTGCTCAGAAGCGAGCACTTCATAGACTTTTTCATATAGCGTATAGAACAAATTTTAATATCTTACTTTATAATTTTATTTCAATTGAACCTCAATTCTTTGCTAGTAAAATCAAAGTCTTAGTATACAAAATTTTACTACCTGGAATGCTTTTAGTCTTTTGTAAAAGTAAATTAGGATTTTGAATTTTCTTCTCTTTTAGATTTTGTGTATCCACCTTAAAAGATTCAGACATGAACTGATGTTTTCCACCAAAATCAGTACCCACGTTTCATTTCCGCTGGAAGGTCTGGACCTTCAGCCATTTCTTGCTAAGGACAGTCCAGCTCAAATTGTGACATACGATCTTCTGTCAGTCATTTGTCATCACGGAACTGCAAGCAGTAAGTACACAGGTCTGACAATTCTTAAATGTAAAAAATAAAGACTCAGTGGACCAAAAGAAGAAAAATTAATAACCGATTTTACTGGTTATTAAAAACATGCCAGAGAATTTTAGGAAATTTAATATTTTTACTACAGTGTTTAGAATATTGTAAATTATATTATGTAAAGTTAAATAGTAAGGACTTTTATGTGATTTTTTTTTTTTTTTTGCTATAGGGTGCGTGCTCTTGCAGGGAAGACAGAAACTGAGAGACAGAAAGTGAGACACCTCACTCTACAATTGCCCTTCTCCTCCATTCTTCTGGGATTTGGGGCATGCATGTACATGTGCCTGACATGAGTTTTAAGCCGCTGGGTCCAGGATTTAAACTACAGTTAACTAAATGGGAGTCCAGTGCCTTAACCACTATGCCGTCTCCTGGTCCCAATAATAAGGACTTTTAATATGATCTTCTTTTGAAAATTTGCCATAGGGCTTGTGTGCTTGCCCATATGGGGATGGGAAGTGGGGGATAGAAGATGAGAAAGCACCCTAGAGGACATGGCTATGCCACAATTTCTTCTCCATTCTCTCAGGATTTCGGGCGTGTACACACATGTGCCTGGTGTTTTTCTCAAGTTTCTGGTTTGGGATTTGAACTGCACTGTTGGCCAAGTAGGATCCTGCTGTCTTAATCTCCAAGTCAGCATGATCATTTTCACCTTGAGCTTTTTTTTTTTTTTTGTAAGAATTATTATTATGGGACTGGCAGGTGGTATGGTGGTTAAGGGTGCTGGACTCCCACATGGCCAACTACGGTTTGAGTTCTGGACCTGGCAGCTTGCTTTCTCACTTTCTCTCTCTCTTACTCTGTCCCTATCTGGTAAAAATTTAAGTAAATAAAGTTAAATAAAATAATTCTTTAAAAAATAAATTTAAGAATTATTATTTTTGAGAATTATTTACTTATTTAACTCTATTTGTTATTATTATTATTATTATTATTTTATTTTGACCAGAGACAGAGAAAGAGAGAGAGAGAAAGGGAAAGCAAGCCGCCACACCTAGGACTCGAGCCACGGTCAACCATGTAGGAATCCATCGCCTTTAACCACCTTGCCACCTATTGGTCCCTTTTAAGAATTGTTTGTTGGTGTAATGGCTGTGTCACTGAACTCCCATGTAGTTGACCATGGTTCAAGTCCTGGACCTGGTGGCTTAAACTCACACTGGGCAAATGTGCGTGTGTGCCCAAGATCCCGAGAGGAGAATGGAGGAGAAGGGATTACGGCGTGACTATCCTCCCTGGGGAGTGATTTCTCGCTTTCTGTCTCGCGCGCATGTGCCCTATAGCAAAAACCTCTCAAGACAAAAACAAAAACAAAAAGAATTGTTTGTTTAGGGCTGGCAGGAGGCATGGTGGTTAAGGTGCTGGACTCTTAGATTACCAACCATGGTTCAAGTCCCAAGCTGGTGGCTTGCTTTCTCTCTTGTCTCTCTCTGGTCAAAATAAAATAATAATAATGATAATGACTAAAATTAAAATAATTCTTTAAAACAAAAGAATTACTTCATTTTAGTCATCATCATCATTATGATTTATTTTAAGGTTTTTGCCATAAAGTGCATGTGCTTGTGGGAAAGAGAGAGAGAAACAGTGAGAGGGAAAGTGAGAAATCACTCCCCAGGGAGGATGGCCAGCTGCAGTCCCTTCTACTCATTCTCCTGGGATTGTGTACATGCACTTGATGTGATTTTCAAACTACCAAGTCTGGGACTTGAACTGCGTTTAACCATGTGGGAATCTAGCTCCATAACCTACTGGCCCCCATTATTATTATGTTTTTTTTTTTTTTCAATTTGCTATAGGGCATGTTTGCTCAAAGAGAGAGAAAGAAAGAGATAAAGAGAGTGGGAAAGTGAGAGTGCAAGCTGCTAGGTCTGGGACTCAAACTGAGGTTTGCCATGTAGGAGTCCAGCACCTATGTGGGATCCTGCTCCCTTAACCACCAAACCATGCGCTGACTCAATCATAGTTCTTGTTATATGTGACCTGCTATGTTAGACCCTCAGGCTACAAAAAGTTTATCTTTTTCTTTTTCCTTAAACTCAGGCGGACACTATATAGCCTACTGCCGAAACAATTTAAATAATCTCTGGTATGAATTTGATGATCAGAGCGTCACTGAAGTTTCAGAATCTACTGTACAAAATGCAGAAGCTTATGTTCTTTTCTATAGGTAATGGAAGTAACTACTTGTATAAGCGCACAAATGTGAAAGAACATCTCGCTCTGTGGAGTTATTAGTGACTTATGAAACTTTTAAAAAGATTGCCGAGTACAGATTTGAAATTGCTTTATTCTCGTTATAGTAGAATAAAATAAAGTGGAAGGTTATATGTGGAGTGAGCCTTGGTTCAGAAAAAACTTGAAGAACAAAGGGCTATGTTTTGTTACAGAGAACAGTTTTAATTAAAAAAATTAGGCGCTGAAATCGGAAATTAAGTACCATATTTTCTCTTAAAGTAGCTAATGAAGGAAGTATTACTATAAAAATCTTTGGTATTTTTCAGTGTCAAAGAAAAGGCTAGCTACTGAAACAGAAAAACAGATTCCTTAGTGTGATCTCATTAACAAGCACTTGAATGCTTGCTGTACACCAGTAGTTATGTGGATAGCAGTAGTTAAAATACAGGATTGCCCTTAGTGATATAGACTGTGTTTGGAGGTGGCTGTGTTTGGAGGCGGGTGTGTTAGAAAATATATTTCTAGAAATTTCCAAGACCAGTAAGATCCACAGTATTAGTATGTGTGCTAAGTCTAATATGGAAGAGGTAAAACATCTACCTAATACTCTAGTGTAGTAAAATGCATATTGACTTTAATTCATTATTGTCCTCTGTAGGAAAAGTAGTGAAGAGGCACAAAAAGAGAGGCGAAGGATATCAAATTTGTTGAACATAATGGAACCAAGCCTCCTTCAGTTTTATATTTCTCGACAGTGGCTAAATAAATTTAAGACCTTTGCTGAGCCTGGTCCTATTTCAAATAATGACTTTCTCTGTATTCATGGAGGTAAGAAATTCTGTAATACAAAATGCACTGGAGTTTAAACGGTAGAATAGGAAAGAAACAAGCATTTGCCTTTTCTGTTTATTTCCCTATTTGCAGCCCCAACTTAATGTGTTTACCTCTATTTGGTTTTATGAATTGGCCCTTCTGTTAAAATTAGTCCGTCTGTAGCCTTTCTTTTGAACGTGTGCTTACTGAGTACCTGTTCTAAACCTGTGGTGGAATCTAAGGATACCAAACACTGTGTTTCTGTCCTCAAAGCTCTGATCTCACGGTAGTCAGATAATAAACTGCTGATTGCAGTGCTGCGAGCTCTTGTGTTGCACATCGTTTCTCTTTGCTGAGAGGCCTTCCTGTGGTGGTAATTTTGGCTACCAAATTTATTTGTTGTCCTTACCCTTTGTGTAAATAAATAGTTGACTCTTACTGAGTTTGGAAATGTTTTAGGGATTTAACAACCAAAAAAAGACCTTATATGTTATTATGTTAAGCATAACTTATACCTTTGTGATTGGCTATGTCAGTGCTTATTTCTACAATAAATTCAACCTGCATGACACTTTCCCTAGTCTTCATGGTTGAGGCTTGATGTTCGTGTTAATTGTAGGTGTCATGAACAATATGCGATAGGAGTATCCTAAATTGGATATACAAGCCTAAATCTAAAAAATATTTCTATATGTGAATTTCAAAGTGTATGTTCATTTTTAGGAAACATAATAATTGAAAATGCTTTATAATTACCTTTTATGAGAGAGGAAGAAGGAAGTTAAGAATAATGATTGACCAGTCATTAGTCACTGTTAAAAAAAAATGAATTTAACCTTTAAAAGCAGTATAACAGAATTAAAGTGTGACAGATCTGTCTAAACTTTTTCTTAGGTGTTCCTCCACGAAAAGCTAGTTATATCGAAGACCTAGTTTTGATGCTGCCGCAGAATATTTGGGATAACCTTTATAGCAGGTTTGTTTTTTAAATCAGATCGTGTAGTATTATGAAAATTGGTTAAACTGCCTAGGGTAGGATTGGTTTCTTTCACATGTGTAACTTGGGCTACATGTTATTTATGAAGTAAGTATATCATTTATATATTCTATGTAGCTCGTATAGCCCTAATCTAGATAATTCATTATATATTCTGAAATATATACATATTTTAAGTTAATGTATTTCTTTTGAGAGAGAGAGAGAAAAACAGTACAAAGACAGAGACAGAAAAGCTAAATGAGCCTCATACCGTGAAGCACCCTAAGTCTCATCCCGCTTAGATCCCAGACATGTGCACTTGCTGTGCTTGGGGAGATTCTGGGATGTAAACCCAGGGCATTTTCTATTTGGGTCTAGTTGCATTACTATTATGTCACCACCTGGGCAATAGATAATTAATTCTAATTTTTATGTACTGGTTGTATGCAAAGGTATGCTGTGATATTAAAATACCTTCTTTGAAAGATTTTGTGTATCTCCAACATTAGGATTTTACATTTTATGCACTCCCACTATTGAATATTCTGACTCTTAAATTTTCAGGTTTTAAATTTTGAAACACTTTGCATTCTAATTTCCCTGCTTGGGCC